TAAAATGATAGTAATGATAGTGATAAGGATAAGATAATGGTAATAAAGAATATTGATATGGGTTTTCTAATTTTTTTTTTTTAGGCATAAAAATGATGATAATGATAATGATATGGATAAGATGATGGTAATAAAGAATATTGATATGGACTTTTATTTTTTTTTTTGGATATAAAAATGTTGATAATGATAATGATAAGGATAGGATAATAGTAGTAATAAATAGCAATATGCACTTAGCAACGATATACTTATCCTATTGAAAATAGCAATTGCTATCCATAGTTACGCTTACATTTCTATCTAACTTCAGAAAATTATTTCATGCCTTTTCATTCTCACAAATATCAATTCGGAAACGCATTTCATAATAAATCAAAGAATGGGTAAATTCATTTTCTTTTTTTTTTTAAAACATATTTCCAAACATTTGCTACGTAACTTTTACGTACGTGATTCTTACGTGCGTAACTTTTTTCTGCTTCAACTATTTAGCTTTTGCTTTGGCTTTTATTTTATTTAATATTTTAGGAGAGTTTTATGTGATACTTTAAAATGAAACGAAAAAAGAAAGAGAAAGTGAGAGAAAGAGGAAAGAAAAAGTATTTTTTATTTCTTTAAAAAGTATTAATTTATTGAGTTAAAATTAAACATTTGTGTTTTTTGAAAAGAAAAAATGAAAAAATTTATTTTAACAATTATTTCACTTTCAATCTTTTCATTAAACTTTATCATTTCAGCCATTCCGGTTTTTATGCAAACCGGAAAATTAAATATAACATGGCAAAAAATTAAATAAATAAAAGGTTATTTAATTTTCAGTTAATTTACCAGGTGAAAATGAAGAGGTATATCCGTGTGAAATTTGTGGACGAAATTTTGTGAAAAATAGTCTGGTAAGCGCTAATTAATATAAAATAATCCTTTCATGCGGCTTTTTTAAAAACAATCACAATTTTAATAGTATAGTTAAGAAAATGTAACTTTGTCATTTGATTCAGATTAATTATTCAAATATTGTAGCGACTAAATTCAATAATTAATTAGTTAAAGGAAATTTTTTAGGTTAAACATGAAGTAGTATGTCAAAAAATGGCAAAAGCAAAACGGAAAGTATTTGATTCCGGTAAACAACGAGTAACCGGATCTGATATTACGATTGAAAATGTTTTAAATGCTCGAAAAGAACGTGATAAAGTTAGTCACTTATAGGACAAATTATTTAAAAGTTCAGGAAGTAGAAAATACATTAACATGAAACGATAATAGGTTAACAATTTAATTAATTAAACCATGCATACATATTCAGTATAACCGGAATACAATTATATCATAGCATTGAATATATCATTCTGGTCAAATTGGTCAATTGGTCATTATTACTGATCAAATGATAGGAAGATAAAGAAAAAAAAGAAAGCGGGTGACAGATGACAGATAAAGCAATTTTTTTGTTGTTGAAAATACCTTATTTATGATAGTATTTAAAAGCAATGTCAGTATCATTATCTATTCAGATGAATGGAATGGATTCCATTATTTGAAAAAATTAAATCAAAATAAAGTATATTTGAAAGATTGTCAAAATTTAATATAATAAAATTCAAAGTTTTCTTTTTTTTTCTTAAATTTGATTGTTTCTTTAAATTAGTTTCTTAACAGTTGATTTTATATGAATGTTATGGATCAATTAATTTAGTTAATTAATTAATTGATTGTAGCTTGGTGGTATATTTCCAAGGCCTAAAACAAGTTGGCGTGAAAATCATGAAACATTCATTAATGCTGTATCATCATCTAAACAGATTAATTATCCACGTCGTACCGATATGTCTCATTCATCAGTACCAAAAGGTTAAGCTTAAATTATAAATAAAACATTTAACAGATATCGATTAGAAAACTTTTAACTTCATAACATTTATTTTTTGATTAATTGTATAATTCAAATTAGATATAAGAATTAATTCAATACATAATAGCAAGATGTTTTTCGTCTTTTTCTTATTCTTAATTTCGAATAAATTAAAATGAAATAACTGTAGCTATTTTAATTACATTAATAGGTTATTGTATCTTTTTTTGTCAAATTAAAATTTTAATTGCAAAAAATATAATGCAGAAAAAAAATAAAAATAATATTTTATTAATTGAAACACTGAATTAATCTACTTATATTTTAAACATTAAATAGTATCCTTGAGAATTTCTAGAATAATATAAAATAATTTAATGATTAACAGATGTTTTAACTTCCGCTACCACAAATACTTGATAATGTTATCAGTTATTCGATTGATATTTCAATTAATCTAATTTCTAATATTTAACTGATATTTCCGATAATTTGCATTCATTCCTCAAACAATATTTTATATTATTTATGAGATTAAGAAGTTCAATAGCTTTCCTATATGGTTTTGTTTTTTTCGAATAAATAAGTCTTTGAGTTTCAGTAAATATTACAAAAAAGATTAGCAAGAAATTTATTCCCCTAAAATTTACTTGCACGTTTTTCGGCTATGTAAAGAAAATTTTGAAATTCATTTTTCTTTTTAATTCCAATTTCCAAGAATTTCTAATTTGTTTAACAATTTAATAGCAAATTTGCGTAATAATTCGATACGCAGTATAATCAGAATTAAAACAATGCCTTTTAATTAAATATGAAATTAACTAAATATGAAATGAAAAATTAAATTAAAGATTTCAAATTATTAATCAAAGATTAATTAAATTGAAGATTATTAATTAAAGATTTTTAAATTAAAAATTAGAAAACTAGTCATTTTAATTAATTCTTTAAAAGTGATTAAATTAATTTCATTTCATTATTAACAACAAAAATAATTTCATTAATAACACTTAAATTTAAAAAAAGAAAAAATTTCGTCGTATTCTAATTCAAAATAAAATGGTAAGATTATTTAATTAGATGAAATTCATTTTTATTTTTAGATTTATTTAAACATCTTTTTTTGAGAGGCAAAAAAAAACGAATCAATTGAGTATTGCAGGTTATTTTCGTTAATTTATTAGCTTACTATGTTAATAATTTATACTATTTATGTATTTCACAAATGATACTAATAATTTAAATAAAAAAAAAAGACTATCATTACTTTGTAGATTTAAGATACGTTAGTTTAGCTTTTGTGCAAATCACATAATTTTTCTTCTTAATCTTTATTTTTTCTTTTTTGTTTGTTTTGTTGATTCCAATTAAGATAATTAGTATAAAAGTTTTGGGAAGAGGAAATACATCCGTTAAGTCATTTTAGATTATGTTAAATGTGAATATTGTGGACGTAGTTTTAATGAAGCAGCCGCTGAACGACATATTCCATTTTGTAAAACACAGCAAGAAAAGAAAGGACCGGTAAAGGTATGTAGTTGTCACCAAATTTCTCATTTTCATTAATGCTCAAATGTTAATTATCATGATAATTAATTGTAATGGTAAATTATGGTGTTAATTATAATAGTAAAATGGGTAAAATTTAGAAATATATTAAAATTAAATTAAAAATAATACTGAAATTATTATACTTTAAATGTAAAAATTCTTCGTCATAAATAATAATATAATTGAGAAATTAAATTTTTTTCGAATTAAATTAAAAATTTTTTAGCATTTTTGATATTAATATTAACAGATTTAGATACAAAAGATCCGATCACAACAAACTAATGCGACAGCGATACGATCCGAAGTTAATAATTATCATCGATTAAATAATACATCGTTAAATCGTGATAACAAGATGAGAACAACAAAAAATGACTGTCATCCATCAACACCAGAACGTCGTTTAAATATTTCTTCCAGACGATCTGTATCATCACAACGGTCAAATATTGATAAGAATAATGGAAATGATCGACAAAAAGCGAGATGTTCATCAAGAAAGTAAACTTTTTCTCATTATTTTTTTTATTTATTTTAAAATATTTCCAAAATTCATTAACAATTTCATTAAAAATTATCATTATTTATTCGATAAGATATAATTTCGATAAATTTAAATTAATTAAAATATATTTATATAATTTGAAAATAATAAATTCATTCCTTTGCATACATTGCATTTATTATCAATAATAGTAATACTACTTATATCATACATATACACTTATTGTCATCTTTCATATCCATTTCCAATTATAATTTCATTTTCCTAAAATAGCTTAAAGAATTAAAATGTAGGAATTAATTTTAAATGACTCATTATTTTAGAAGAAATAATTCTGTCACACGTCGAAGTTCATCCAATCAATCCATTGAACAAATAAGCAATACATTAGAACGAGAACGAATTAGCTCATCGTATGTAATTTCTGATTAATTCTTAATCGATAAAGAGATCAAAGATTTATTATTTATCAGGATTAGTATTAGTATAGTATCTTATAACTTGAAGGATTAGTATAATATCTTATAACTTGAAAAATTGATTTTTTTTTTTTTTTTTTTCAGAGATACATATCGAATTAATAGCCGAGAAAAGACATCAACACTAATATCTCGACAATCATCTCGTACCAGAAAAGGCAAATAATTCAAAAGAAGGGAATTTGAATAGAAATCGATTTTTTCAAATGCTTTGAGTAAACAAATAATTAAATATTGCATAAATATTTGTGAATACATCCATTTTTCAATTTATCAAGTCTATTAATTAATCAAATCTATTAATTAAAATATTAATTGAGCAAAAATCAGTTAAATTCAATCTATTGATTAATTATATCCATTAATTAAAATATCAGTTAAGTAAAATCTATTAAATTCAATTTGTTAATAACAAATAGTTACTATGAAATTTTGCACGATTGTAATGATTCAATGCAGATAATAAAACGTATCTTTTAATTAATTAAATTCACTAATTAAAATATTAGTTAAGCAAAATCAATTAAATTCAATCTATTCCTCTAAAAAGTTCTTCTAACAAATAATTGTTGTTTTAATTTGATCTATTATATCTGATTGTTCATTTTAATTAACATAAAGAAAAATAATGGGATGGAATCTCTTCCATATAAATATTTTTCTGCAATCTATCATTTGTTATCATTTCTAATGATCCAATAAATCTTATCGGTTGAAATATTTCTGAAATCAGCCGATCGAGTAGTATTTTCATTTTTCAAATTTGTGGAAAATAAATGCGACAAATTAGAAGTAAAAAATTTAAATAATAGAACAATGAATAAGGTAGAAAGAATTCTATAATCTATCATTATGAATTCGTTAAGTTCACAATGAGATGATTCATTTTACGTGAATGATAAATAATTCTACGTCAATGATTTACGTGAAACATTTCCATTTCATCAAACTGTTGTTAGTTAATGATAAGTTATGGTAAAGAAACTATAAATGATTTTGAAAGTATGAATCATTCAGATTTTCGTAAAGTCCAGTGAAATTTCATAGGCCGTCAACCTATATATGAAATAATGGTATGTGTCGTATAATTTATAAATTTCAGAAAAAGTCTTGAGCTATTATTTGACTAGCCTGGAGTAAATAAAGTAAATCAACTAGGCTTACTGCTTCTTTTCCTTCCATTAAATTAGTATATGTAAAATGTAAACGTTGAAAATTACATAAGAAATGATTACATTTCATTTCAATATAATTTATTAACGATTATTACTATAATTAGAGTTTGGAAAGAACGTTACGTGTATGACGCCATGCATACAGTACAAGGATAAATTACAAAGTTTAATGTTAAGTATAATTGTAGGTTCCGTACTTCCACACAGTAACGAATGATTCAAAGTGTATTTTTGAAATACTAAAGGGATGTTGCAAGATTCTACGTGAATACTGAATAGTAGTTGAATTATACGTACGTTATTTGATACATAATTGTAATTTCATTCATTTACAACATACATTCAAATGATAAATGAGGAAAATTAGAAGACAAAGATGAAGCGAAAGTAGTACGAGAAGGATGATAGTAAAGATGATTTTATCAGAATGATAGTTTTATCAGGATGACAGAAGGATGATAGTTTTATCAACCTCTCAAAATCATCAAAAAATATTAAATGATTTCTGCAGTAAAACTTTATGAATTTTTTATTTTGATTTTAACGCGCACGAAAAAGGTCATGTCATTGGACGCCTTTGTCATTTCAGGTGAACAAAAAATTAAATTAATTAGATACACTTTGATAAATTAATTAGATACACTTTGATGTAAGAAGTATTTTTCAACTCATGTAAAAAATGTAAACGTACCTGATGTTTGAATTATAGAGATACGTGATATTAAATTATCCACGAATGGCTTTGTACATCATTACGTGAACATCATATAATGTTACATAAAGTTATGTGTATAGTGTATAGTGTTAGCCTTATGTGTATAGTGTTATTTCAGATTTATGATAATTTTCATCGTTTACCCAAAACTTAGTTCTTTCCAAGTATTTTTTTTCCTACAAAAAGAAATGGCAAACATTTTTAAAGAATTTCGAAAAGATTTTTTTTTCTACGTTTCTAAAATTTCTTTTGTTTATATAAAATTTCGCATTTTAGAATGGAAAATACATAACAACAGAAGGTGTAAATTCAAAATGTGAGCGTTTGTTAAGATTGTAAAGATTGAATTATGATCAATCAAAACATGATAAATTGCAGATGTCGAAATGTGGCAAAACTATATAAATATATACAACATTCAGATTGTTAAACAGCTCAAAGGTATTTTATTTTGTCGGCTTCTTTTGTCTTTTCCGACATTTTTTTCAGCTTTTCTAATCTTTAAAAAAAATTTTCAGCTTTAAACAACTGTTGTGTTCTGTTAGCCATTTTTTAAGAGGATTTGTTTTTCGTTTTATTCTTCATTTTTTCCATTTTTGTTTTCTTTTTCTTGTTGTTAACATTGCATCATCTACCGATATCATATGAGAGAAGATAATAAAGCAAATTATACATCCTAGAATGATTTGTTGTTTTAGAAAAAAAATTATTTCTATTTCCTTTTTTCATTTCTTCGTATCTATTCATTTTTTTCCTCCCTCTTTCTTTCTTTCCTCCCCTCCTCTCTTTCTCTTTCATTGGATAAAAGAGATGTAAAGTTTTATTTTCACCTAATCAGTTTGTCTAGAGAGAAAGACTAGATATAATTTCCTGAGTTTAATTTATCTTAGTAAAATATGAATAAGACACAGTACTATCCACATAACTGCTGTTTCAACTTTACTGCTGTGATCATTATAATCATTATCATCCAGGTATGCTGTCATTTTCTGGGATCGTCGATTGTTCGTTTTATTCCTGATGATTATGTCAGGGTTCACCTATTTGGTACCGTTAATGTACCTTTTGTGGTATGCATCACAGCTTGAGACATGGTAATGTTTTTTTTCTTCCGATATTGCTATTTTCAGTTTAATTTCTAAGAATGGTACATTTTAAAATTTTATCAAATAGTGCTAAAATTTAGTGCACTTTTTGTCAATTTACATACTTGCTGTTATGCATAATGTAAATATTTGTGTTTAACGTTGTACTCCAACTAAATATCAGATTTAATACTTCTCTACATATAAATATCAAAAGTGAACGTAATGCTTTATTTATTTCTCAGACAATTCACAAAATTGAACTAAATTAAATGCACCGTGAAATTCAGATATCAATTTTCAGGTCACCGACTCGACCAAACATAATACTTATCATGACTGATGATCAGGATATTGAGTTAGGCTCCATGCAGGTCTTTTTATGCTTTATTTGATTATTTGTGCTTATCATAAGTATGTTATGTCCAACATATCAATTTCGTGATGAATTCACCCACAATCAACTAATTGGCAGTTGAATTTATGGCGCTAATAGTTCTGGATTTCATTAGAAAAGTCTTTTGGGAAGTTTCTGTTGGACTGATTACTTTTTTAGATAAGATTTGCCAAAACATTTATTTCTTGAATAGGTCAAGTGTATATTCTTGGTTTCCAGTTTATGCCAAAAACTATACATCTACTAAAAGAACGTGGAATAACATTCAATTCAGCTTTCGTTTCAACACCTATATGTTGCCCAAGTCGAAGTTCGATATTAACTGGAATGTATGCGCATAATCATCACGTACTTACTAATAATCACAACTGTTCAGGGCATGACTGGAGGTATTCTTCTAAATTGTAGTTTAGAAAATTTCGAAGTGTTCGTTAGAAAATTAGAAAACGATAGCTAATCAGATGAATTGCATTAATGACTATCATCATAAAGTTAGCGGCACTCATTATTCTCTCCAACATCTGATTAACCATCATTAGAAGGTGCTGTTATACTGAATGATCAAATAATTCAGGACTAAATCATCATTTCTTAAAAAATTACACATGAAAGGATTTTTTGGTTGTTAGATTTTTTTAACTCATGTGGAAATTGGAAAACTGCAATCCATAGATGGAACAGTTACCAGGAGGTCAGCAAATGAAGGCCAAATTTACTGTGAATTAGGGAAACAAGCTTTTTCGGTAAATTTTAGCATAAATTATGTGACATGGAATGCTTTTTAGGAATAATTACGAGAAAAAAACATTCGCTGTGTATTTAAAAAATGAAGCAAGCTATACAACAGCATATTTTGGCAAATATTTAAATGAGTATACCGGTTCATATATTCCGCCTGGCTGGGACCACTGGATGGGATTACTCCGGAATAGCCGGTTCTATAACTACACTATAAATGTGAATGGTGATAAGATCAAACATGGCTGGGATTATGAAAAGGTTTACTTATGAAGGATTTTGCTTTTCTGTGTAATTGTTAACCTTGTTTTGTGCTCTTCAATGGATACATTTAACGGGACACTTCAATTGCTGTCATCATAAGCTTTTTTCAAAAGTCCTATTCAATATAGAATCTTTCCGTTACCGAACATTAACTCCTAACTTCTTTTTTGTCGCCATCATTAATTAGGGAGCTTGAATTAGTGTACTGTTTCAGGATTATTTTACCGACTTAATTGCTAACGATACGATAGCGTTTATCAGGGAGTTGCATAGTAGAGATCTTTTCAAGCCATATATGATTGTGATGTCATTTCCAGCACCACATGGTCCGGAAGATCCAGCTCCACAGTATTCTACTTGGTTTCAAGATGTTGAAACACATAGGTACTTTGATTCAGAAATTCAGGGATACTGTGTGCAACAATGGAACGATTTCTTTGTCAAAGTCGTTATGTTTGGTTAATAGCTGAGTTTAAGAACAGAAGCTTGGAATTATGCTCCAAATCCTGATAAACAGTGGCTTTTGCAACATACTGGACGTATGGAACCAGTCCATGTTATATTTACCGATGTTTTACATAGACGACGGTTGCAAACATTGCAAAGTGTGGATAGTAGTATTCAAAGAGTTAGTTTTATAAATTATTCTAATCCCTTATTCATTAAAGGTATGTTGATGTTTCATTTTAAAATTCCGGTATGTTAACATAGTTTGTGTATTAAGAGTGTGAAAAATTCGTTTCCATTTATTTTCCACAGGAAAACAATAAGATCAGAAAAACTATCGCTTAACAGAATTTCAAACTTTTATATCAGAAGTATCAAGATTGTCTGTTCACGAACTGTATAATCTCTCTGGATGATGATACATTAGTGACTTGGAGCATGATTTAATTCGTATGAATTATGACATTTGCGGTTAGATCATCAAGACCAGTCGATTACTTTTCAACTTTTGTTCTGTGAAATATAATAAAAGTGACTTGTAGCTGATAAATGAATTACGCGATCTGGGTGATCTATCAAATACAGTTTTCATCTATACAAGTGATCATGGATATCATTTGGGACAGTTTGGCTTGGTGAAGGGTAAAAATATGCCCTATGAATTTGATATCCGCGTGCCATATTTTATTCGTGGACCAGGATTTCCGAAGAATATATCGTAAGTTACATTTAAATTTGCTTTATCCAGTTACTTTTTTTGGTTTTGACACTGACAGTGATTATTGTCGGGACGATATATTTTATGGGACTAACACCAAATATTCCATATCGTTACATAGTGATGTACTCTGAAAATTGCTGTTGTTTTTTGTCGCATATTCATAAGATAGATAAGTTAATAATGAAACAACCGCTATAAAAGTAGAACCCATTCAAGTTTGTAAGTTACTCCTGATAGGAAGTTCTAAATTCATTAGCATGCGCAAAGCTTAAACGTATTTAGGATCCGTGAACCTGTAATGAACGTTGATATAGCTCCGACCATCTTGGACATAGCTGGAATAACAATACCACGTCATATGGATGGACGTTCATTAGTACGACTTATTCGGCAGTACGGTAATCACTTCTTCTTTAACTACACTTTGATTTGATTAATATTTTCAGCTTTCGCTAATTATGATGAGTGAATGTTGGAATAACTCCAACCATCTACGATATAGCTGAAATTGCTTATTTTTTGGCTTCCAGTAATAGATAGCGTAGGAATTGTCGTTTTGGTCGGGTTCGAAGTAACAAATCTAACTTTCAAGTCCTGTGGCTGTCGTTACAGTTCTTTCTAAAAGTTGTATTTCTTGCTTTCCTCGTTATCTTTCTTCAATTACCTTCTTTCGATCATTTTTCCTCCTTTTTTTTTCTTAAAGATAAACAAAAGAAGAAAACGAAAAAGGAAGCAGAAAAAACAAAGGAGTTCAAATGGCGAGATACGGTACTGATCGAAAGGGGGTGATCTTTTCTCATTTTCTTATGTCTTATCTCTGCTGAATATCATTAGTTTTAAATGAGCTTATAGTTTTTTCCCATTTTCTTAATCTATGTAAGATCATATAATCTGTAATTAAGTAGTTTTCTCAGTTCTGAAATAAGGAAGAGGAAGAGCAGTACTTTTCCATCTTTAACCATCTCGTATAGAAAAATGGCGCGATTAACTCGAATACGTGATCGGTTTATGAAACAGCGTGGTCGATTGAGTAAAGACATCCGTGTACAAAGAGCGTGTACTCGATCGGAATTCAGGGAACCTTGCAAGAAAGGGCAGGTACTATTAATCTTAGAAGGAAAGTCTGTTCGAAGTTGTCTTTTATGTAATTTCCTGTAAAACGTAATCTCTTTTAAACTCACCGAAATTGGGAAAGGAAATAAACTGTAAGGTTCATTTTACTATTAGCTTTGGTTAGTTGGTTTGAGCTTCATCACTTATGCCCCGTTGCGAACATGTTAGAACAGTTACTGCGGGATCAAATAATTGTTATTTCAGCAATGGGAATGCATTCATGATGCTTCTGGTAAATGGAAAATTTTCAAATGTCAGGAAAATGTAGATATTATCAAGGAGTGTGATTGTTCCTCGGAAGCTATATTAAAACGACGCTATCGACGATCCAGGAGAAAACACGGTTAGCTCAACATATAGCTTAGATTTCTTAGGTGCGTTTGATTTACTGTTGATTCCCTTTTCATGTTTTTATTGGTCACGCTACACATAATCACAACATTATCTAGAAATATTTTCTTGAGAGTATAATTTTTTATCAGTTTCTGTTCTCAGAAACTTTTCAAACAAAGTATTCCTTTAAGGAAGGATGAGTGTCCGACGGACAGCAACTATAACTCAGCTGGATAATGAAGGTGAAACGGTTTTTCTAGACGAAACTTTGCGAAAGCTTTGGGAACAAGAATTCTTTCAATATATACAAGAGGTACTTTCTTAGTCCAGATAGGGAAGTAAGTCCCACGAGAAATATTGCCTCTCTTATTATGGCTGTCCAGTTCAGTTTATCTATCCTAAATATCGAACAAATTAAATTATAAATTTTTTAGCGTTTCAATGATATGCGTTTTTGTAGGTTTAATGTTGTGTGATAAGTTTGTGGACAATAACTTTGTTTATTTTGAAACATTTAAATGTAAAACACCAATAATTTGTTTTGATTATCAGTGCATTAGCAAGGTACCATCTGTTTTACCATATTTTTTTATTCATTTTAATACAGAAAGAAGTGATGGAAAGTGGTGAATGGCACCAAGGTGTTTGGGAAGACCGGAATGATGCTGATGTACGCATGAAGCGATCGGTAAAAATGGAAAAAGCAAGGATTGGCTGTAGGAGTTACAAAATTCCAAATGCATAATATGCTATGGTTTAAAGACCAGACATCAGAAAGAAACAGTTGTTGAATTCCAAGCTATTTTTAGAATAACCTTTATATTTGTTTGCAGCTCTATGTGTGCGATACAATACGAGTGTCATTTGCAAACCGAAGGTATTTCGGAATTCGAAATTATGGTCTATCCACAAGGCAAAAGTTGATGGTCGAATCGAAAACCTTAAAAGAAAATTACTGCTTTACAAGGTTTGCTCCTGTTTACTTTTATTAGTTCATTAATTCAAAACCACTTTTTTGGTGCTTATCTCTACCTTCACATGTCTAGAACTTGAAGCATATATCAGTAGAGGATGCGACTGAGCATATTCGGTGATATCATTCCTCTGAAATCCGATTATCTATTACGTTTATTGCGTTACATTCTGCCATCAACCTTTCAAAAGATTGATATGAAAAAATAAGTAACAAGTTCGGAATGGAAATTCTGTTTAAATGGAGGATCATAAATCGAAATCTCTGCTATGATTAACATCGAGATGCCGAGTATTCTATTGTGATTCAGACTGCATATTTCTTGTTTATTTCACTTCGTAAATTTGAAAATTTTGATTTTAAGAGTATGCGGAGAACTCTGAAACAAAGACGACCATCGATATCAAATGAATTTTCCTCACCAAGTAATTTAAGTGGATGTATCTGCAGAGGGATTTATGCTCGTCTGCCAAGGTAGACCTTCAGGAACTTAATTGTTTTTAGTTGTTTTGATTTAATTTTCGAATAGAACTTACAGATCATTGATGCAGTAAAAAGTACTTGAAAGAAAGTTATGTAAATATAGAATATTTGAAGGAACGAAAGCAGCCGCGGTGATATGTTGTGGTGGCGAAAAAGTGGAAAAAATATTCACAACAGTCTGCATGCAGGGATTAATTCAAAGTATCGAATATTTTCGTAATACTCTTCAAAATGAATGAAGCTGTAACCAAAGAGATTAATTATTACACTCCGTCGTGAAACTAAAAATAATTCTAACAACAGGGAAGGGCCCATTAGATGGGCAAGTAGAGTTTGTTGAATCGTGAAATATCGTTACATTATTTTATGCTTAAATACGTTATGGGATATATTTCAGGACATTGGAAGGATTTTTTCTTATCTACAGCGATGAATAGGTGGGATACTCGGTAGAATGTGAATAATTGCAGAAGCTTGAAGAATGTGAATAATTACAGAAGCTCGAGTCATGGTCAACTGCATGCAAATTGTGCAGTACCACAGATGAACTGTTTCGTCCATGGTGCAGATCACTGGAGGACACCACCATTTTGGCCGGAACGTTACGGCCAGTTTTGCTTCTGTCAGAATTCCAACAACAACACATACTGGTGCATGCGAACAGTTAACAGTACACACAACTTCCTATACTGCGAGTTTATCACCGAATTTATAAGCTACTATGATCTTAGCGCTGATCCATATCAGGTTAGTAATTTTCGGCAGTTTTTGAGAAGGAAATTGATTTGAACAATGGTTTGAATTAAAACTTTGGAAAAAAGTAATTTGATCGGGATGTTTGTTTCTTTATCACTCAAAAGTAATTATTTAATCCCCGAACAGTATTTTATTGCCAAATTTGCTGCACAAATTAAAAGAAATAGTTTGAGAATTTAGGCTGCTTTCCGAAAGTAGGCCTGAATATTTACTTTGTTCGTGTGGTAGATGTTGGGAAGTAATGATTCCGTGAAGTTATAGCTGCTGCAGCTTGTTATCAATTGAAGCTTTTTATCACTATCATTTCAGTTGCACAATATTATATGGAGCATACCGTTAGGAGTGCTGGAACAGCTAAGTCGACAGCTTGAGCTTCTGCGAACATGTCAAGGTCATGCACAGTGCGAACACTATTCCTCTTCAGTTTGGCATCTTCCATTTATAGAAAGTGATAATAACAGCATTAATTAGTATTTGTGCTAGGAAATTTTTGGAAAAAGGAATTAACGGCTGCCAAGCTTTAGCTTATCGAGAGATTTCACTTAAAAAAGGATATTGATCAGTAAGAAAAAACCTAGAAATTACATGTTCGACTTTTTAGCTTCATAATGAATGTAAACTACCATTGGTTTAAATCCTTTTAATGTTTGTACGTGTGTGTTTTTTTGATGAGGCAAAGATTGAATAAACGATCTGATAAATCAACTCCATTAACAGATTGCATTTTTATATTTCTGCAATTTTGATGTTTTCCATATCAGTCCTAGAAATTTAAGCCAACTTGTTGTGCTCCTTCAAAGGATGTCGAACAGAATCCCTTTGTCCTAGAATCTATAAAAATTCTAGAAAAATCTAGAAAAAAATCTAGAAATCCGAGAAAAAAACGAGACGAAAAAAAAGAAAAAAGAAGAGAAAAAAAAACTTATCCTAGAAAAATTATTATTCTCGTTAATCATTATGACTTGACTCTTACCATTTAAAAGCACTTCTCCGATTTACATCGCCCAACTTATGCCATCTCATTTTATATTTAATGACTTTGCGTTCGATTCTTAATTAATATGCACTGGTGCTAATTACTCCTTTTTAACAAATACACTGTTATCCGAATCATATTTCCGATTTGAACGAAACTGTAAACTGGAAGGCACTGGACGTCAAATAGAATAAGTTCATTGTGGAGTTTCTGGGAGACAATCTCGTCGTGTGTACATGCATACATTGAGTTTCTCACGTTGACAATGATAATCCATTCCATCATTTATTCATCTTTCTTTCATTGATAATATAACAAACTGAGAAGAAAGTAACTACAAAATATCACATAATTACAAGTAATATAAATAATAAGACGAATGAAGAATTTTAAAGATACTAATCGGCGGGACGTTAATCTAAAACAACAATTATGCATGCACCATGGAAAAGTGGAAGACGGCTTTTTTCATTCCAGCTATAAACAACCAATAAAACGTGTCCTAAATTTTTCTATTTCCGACTGCACCTCCGAAGGGCTTAAAAAACTCACCTTACCGCTGAACATTTTAAACCTTTCGGAAATATAAGATCTGTATCAACATGATCTAAACTCTTTGTATCTTTCAAATGAGAACCTTTTGGTTTTCAGTAGGATAGACCATATCCAAGAAAAAAAAAAAGTAAACGAAACTAGCGCAACTCTTTGGAAGAGAATATGTGGCACATAAAAATATTATAGCGCAACCAGGAAAATTGTGTCAGAACAAAAAAAGAATGAAATATAACCGTCACAGAGCACACTAATAAAGCATATGCATACTGGTAGTGAAGATACTGAATCGTCACATATAATTTAGATTTAAATTTAAAAATAAATAAAAAGATAAAACAAGAATACATTGAAAAGTGTGCATAAAACACAGCATGATGCTTCAAAAGGCATTTTTAATATATAGAGCAAAATGTTTAAAGGGGAATTCACAATTTCAATAAGAAAATCATTAGGAAAGGAAATTAAATAGATTTCGTTCTAATACAATTTACAGTTACATTTCTTCAAAAAAGGAAAATATCTCCATTCGATTTTAGAAGTGTGGAAATTTCGATTTGCTTCTTAATTACTGGAGAAAAAGTAAAAATATTCGCTGCTTAAGTAGGACATAATGCAACCATAGTGATACACTTCGCATCTTTCAGCATATGTCGGACACAGTCGTCTTTAACTTCTTTCCATCATAAACTGTTTTGAACTGTTCAGGCACCGCAAATTCTACCTGAAACTTGCTAGAGCAATAATAATAACTTGATAATTAACGA